ATTAATTATTAATTTTTTATTAAATCGATCAATTGCTATTTTTATATAAAAAAGCGGTTTTAGTGGCATAAGGTGTAGATTACTTTTGAAAATATCAATTTTTCAACTAAGTCTATTTTTCTTTTTCTTTTTTCTTTATCTATCATGTTGGAAGCCGTGGAATGTAAATGGCAGTTTAATTTTGTTTTGTTTATTTATAATTAGTTTTTTTCGACTGAGAAATTCCAAAATTTTCGGTGAGCAGCCTTGTATTAATTTATTTTACCAAATACACTTTGTCTCACTCCAGGTCACACAGAACTTCTTTATTCCAGGCTCAGCCTCCGTCGTAAATGGTCGTTCGTGCTGAAAAATATGGATCGCTGTAAAAATACAAAATATTCCAAAAACCAAATTTGATATATACTTGAACAAGGTAAGATATTATGTATTATTTTTGTAATCACAGATTTTTATTACACTATTTTGTTTCCCTAAAAGTACGCAGGATTTATATATAAATATACTTATACGTCTTGGACTTTATGGATTGTGCTCATTATATTAGTTATGATGAGACCTTATCCCCGAACTTGACGGAGTGACTTGAAGGTGTACTTCGGTGAATACTACTGGAACTCTTTAAAAAGTAATAATAGTAACAAGTTTGCTGAGTTTGGGCTCGTTTTGTTAGTTACGAGTATGATGAGACCTTACCTCCGGACAGTGGCAGATTATCCTTATCCTTTCAAACAAAAAAAATTTCGTCGTATTTATTACTCCTAAATCGCTGTTACGGATTCAACTCGGTTGGGCAGCGTTCGGGAAATTACGACACATCTTCTCGTCAGGTATACCTCAAAACTTGAAAACGAGACTGTACACCCAGTGCGTGTTGCCAGTGATGACATACGGAACTGAGACGTGGTCTTTCACTGCTGGCTGGATGAGGAAGCTCAAGGTCGCTCAGCGAGCTATGGAGAGGGCTATGCTCGGAGTTTCTCTGCGTGATAAACTCAGAAATGAGGATATACGCAGTAGAACTAGAGTAACCGACATAGCCCAACGGATTAGTAAGCTGAAGTGGCAATTGGCGGGCCATATAGCTCGAAGAACCGACAACCGATGGGGAAGAAAGTTTCTCGAGTAGCAGCCTCGTACCGGTAGCCGAAGTGTAGGGCGTCCCCCCACTAGATGGAGTGACGACCTGGTAAGATATTATGCAGGAAGTCGACGGATGCAGGTGGCTCAGGACCGTGCTTCGTGGCATTCTTTGGGGGAGGCCTATGTTCAGCAGTGGACTTGTGAAGGGCTGTTATGATGATGATGATGATGAATCGCTCTTACGCTCTCATCACATTTTTCATCATCATCATCATCATAATTACAGTCTTTCATAAGTCATAGGCCTCCCCCAAGGAATGCCACAAAGCACGGTCCTGAGCCACCTGCATCCATCGACTTCCTGCATGTCTTACCAGGTCGTCACTCCATCTAATGGTCACCCTTTACTTCGCCTACCGGTACGAGGCTGCCACTCGAGAACCTTTCTTCCCCATCGGTTGTCGGTTCTTCGAGCTATATGGCCGGCCCACTGCCACTTCAGCTTACTAATCCGTTGGGCTATGTCGGTTACTCTGGTTCTACTGCGAATATACTCATCTCTAAATTTATCACGCAGAGACACCCCGAGCATAACCCTCTCCATAGCTTGCTGAGCGACCTTGAGCTTTCTCATACGGCCAGCAGTGAAGGACCACGTCTCAGATCCGTAAGTCATTACTGGCAACACGCACTGGTTGTACAATTTCGTATTCAGGTTTAAGGTATGTCTAACGAGAAGATGTGTCATAGTTTCCCGAACGCTGCCCATCCGAGTTGAATCAGTCAATTGACCTCTCGGTCGAAGTTGAACTTCCTAGTCGGACTATTTGTCTCAGGTAAATATACTCGTCAACAACTTCGAGCTTAGTGCTCCCAACAACTACCGGCATAGGTGTGACATAGACGTTAAACATGATCTTTGTTTTGTCCATGTTCATCTTAAGACCTGTCCGTTGGGAGACACTATTGACGTTATTGAGCATAGTGCTTAGGTCCTCCAGCGATTCTGCCATAAGAACTATATCGTCAGCAAATTGAAGGTGAGTGATGTACTCGCCATTAATGTTGATACCGTATCCTTTCCAGTCCAGTAGCTTGAAAACGTCTTCCAATGAAGCGGTGAAGAGTTTCGAGGATATAACGTCACCCTGTCTTACACCTCTCTGCAGTTGGATAGTTTTCGTATTCTGATTCTGTACTCAGATAGCCATCGTAGCTCTACTGTACAAACACTTCAGTACTTCGATATACCGACAGTCACCATGGCACCGCTGAAGGGACTGCAGCACCGCCCAAATTTCGACGGAATCAAAGGCTTTCTTATATTCCACATACGCAAGGCAAAGTAGCAGATTATACTCCTCTGTCTTCTGTACAATCTGCCGCAGGGTATGTGTGTGGTCTATGGTACAAAAGCCTTTTCGGAAACCGGCTTGTACAAGAGGCTGGAAGTCGTCAAGTCTGCGTGAGAGATGATTCGTAATGACTCTCGAAAACAGCACGTAGACGCGGCTCAGAAGGGAAATCGGTCTATAGTTCTTCAAGAGAGCGTTGTCGCCTTTCTTGAAGAACAAGACCACCGCACTTCTGCTCCACGCCTCCGGAGTAGTGCCACCATAGTGGACGGAATTAAAAAGCTTCTGAAGGACTTCAAGTACCGGTTTTCCACCCGCTTTCAAAAGCTCCGCTGTAATTCCATCCTCGCCCGGGGACTTGTCGTTTTTAAGGTGCTGGAGAGCCATTCTAATCTCGCTCAGACTGACGTCCGGGATATCTTCGGAATAGTGTCGGATAAGACTCGCTCTTGGATCGTTACTCACACTTGCGATGCTACCACACTCGGTCTTCAGCTTTGACAGTTGGCTCTTTCTGGCAGACAGATCTCGGGCAAAGACTTTGGAGCCTTGATTCCGTCCGATCGCTTCTTCAGATTGACAGATGATCGCCCTCCCGGTGATAGAGCAAGTTGCCGGTTTCGACGATTACCGTGTCCTCCCCCTCTCTTCGGACCTCTGATGATCCTATAATATGCCAGCGTAACTTGTCTATCTCTTCTTCCAGCTCCACGATCTTCTCGTCAGTCCTCAGGGTGCGTGCATTGTATGTTGCCAGGTCGAGTCGTCTTAGGTGGTAACCGAACCTCCACCGGAGATCCTTAGCACCCTCTGGGTGAGGTCGCCACCGTAGCCAGGAATAGCGGGGCCGCCGGGGACTGGGGGCCGTCTCTTTGTTGCTCTCATCATTGGGGCGTATTTGCCATAGTTGCTACGCTTGGCGAGCGGGTTGGCAACCGAAATTTTTCTATTGTAATTTTGCTGTTATCAGGAAGATGCTGCTGCCCATCTCCTGCCTGTTTCCCTTTGTAGCCTTTTACGATACCCACGGGAAGATATGGGGTTGTGGAGATTCTTAACCGCCACTACACGGCATTTTTCATGTATGCCCTTAATTACGTTACGAGTACCCTGTTAAGGGTTATTTTTGATTTATTGATTTATTTTTCTTTTTAAAGATGTTATCTCCACACTAGAACCTTCTCCTGCATCGTGGTTTACATGCATTAATTTCACAGGGACAAACATGCAGACCAGGAACAATTATTTGTAAGCCAAAAGATGTACCGTGTCGGATTCGAACCCGCGGTTCTTAGCGCAGCCACTGCGCCACGGAGCTGTCCGAAGGGTACTCGTATCCTAATTATTTTGCAATTATTAAACTATATTATAAATTATAATATAGTTTATTTGCAAAAATTAGTAGTTTTAATTTATAATAGATATAATATGGCCCCTAGAGGGGCGCCGATGAGGTAGTAGACTAATATAGGGCACAGTCGACATTTAATCCGCCTCTGCTTCCGGGCTTGATAGAGTGGCCTGAAAGTGTTCTTCGATGAATGCTACTGGAACTCCTGGAAGAGTAGAACTGGGTGTGCCGAGTTTGGCTTCGTTTTGTTACTTATGATGAGACTTGATAGAGTGAATTGAAGGTGAACTTTGATGACTGCTACTGGAACTGCTCGACGAGGAAAACTAGATGTGCCAAGTTTAAGTTCGTTTTGTTAGTTATGATGAGACCTTATCTGCAGACTTGACGGAGTGACTTGAAGGTGTACTTCGGTGACTGCTACTGGAACCCTTTGACGAATAGAACTACAATTTACATTTTTTTATTTTTTTCACTATCATATGAGCATTATGAGTCGTGCACTTTTGGATTTTCCAAACTTTTTTAATTGAAGTTTGACATAAAATTATCAGAAAATTGGAAGGATAAGGCTATCAGTGAAAACTTGTGTGTATTTTAAGTACTTTAAAAAATGTTGGTATAATCATGTTGGGTGTAATTTTATTAATGCACTTAAGGCATGTACAATTGCATTCACCAATAGGTTTTTTTTATATTATTAAGTTGTTATTAGGAAGATACTACCCATTTTGGCTCTTAACGACACCATTGAAATGATATAGATTAGCGAATTGTCACTATACGGGCATTTAATAAAGCAATGATGAATAAAAATAAAAAGTTATTTTTTTTTATTGAATAAGGGTGACAAACGAGTCACCGGATAGTAAGTGGATGTTGTAACCAATAGAAATCTAAAAATTAAAATGTAGTTGCATTTTCCTCAGACTAAGATAGATTGCCTCGTTTACAGTATTAAAAGATTCTCCGGTTATTTTCACTCACAATACGAAAAATAGAAACATTAAACCGACCCATTCGTGCTTCAACCATAATAAAGCTGCAACATGGCTCTACCACGTATTTATACATAATAATACATAGTTACAACAAAATAATTGATTTTGTAAAAAAATATTCAAGAGGCATATCGCACAATAATTGGTCGTATAGGTCATCGACTACTGTTCATTTCATTCATTGTACACGGGCGCGTGCGCCGTTTAGACGACAGTATTATCCAGACTACAATAAAAATAGGACGTTTTTGTTACTTAAATGCTTTGTTAATTGTTGTTTTTGTGTTGGCATTGAGTTTGATTACCGACTGTGAAAATTATATCACTGTGATGGCCGCCGGACTGGGATGGAAAGTGATTCTAGTGACCCTGGGATTATTTCTAGGTAAATAAACCTCAATGTCTATCGCCTTATTGGTATTTAAAAACTTGAACTATGATTGTAAAATCTTGTGACTCTTAAGGATAAAATTATGTAAAATAAATATTATTAATTAATTAGCTAAATGAACGGTACATTGTCTAAGGTTCGTTAAGTAGTCAGTAAACCATCCACTACAGAACCCATCTCTCTCATATTCGACAGTATTTGCCGTGATCTTAACTTCCATCACTCCTGTGATCGGGAGTATTTTGGCGAGTGATTAGCGGGTGGCTTGATGAACCATACCTCTAGTCCACCTATCTATTCCATTACAGCCTATAAAAGTCCTGTAAGAAACAAAACAACTTTTGTACGTGGTAGAGTCATACTGCAGCTATATTAGTAGTATAGTTGTAGCACGACTGGGTCGGCTCGACCGGGGAAGGATCACGCTCTCACAGAATACCAGCGTAAAATAGCAGCTTAACGCTGCTGTGTTTCGTATGGTGAGTGTAGAGAACCGGAGACCCTTTTTACTGGAAACGAGGCATTCCATATTAGTCCTCACGGGTGACAACGCATCTGCATTTTGTTGGATGTAGATGTCTATGGGCCACAGTAACCACTTACCATCAGGTGGACTGTGTGCTCGTTTGTCACCCTATCCTATAAAAGAAATCTTACGGCGAGCTACACGGCTCTCGCTTAAATAAAACTCATAAAAACTGGAAAGAAGCTTTTGCACTATTGTTCACCCCTTCTACCTTGTAATTTTTTTTAATTTTTTTAAAAAAACGTTACCCCCACACTAGGATTTTCTTCTGTGTCGTGGAGGCAGTTTACAAACATAAATTGCACGAGGACAAACATCTAGACCCGGAACAATTATTTGTAGGCCATACAAATACTTGTTCCGTGCGGGATTCCAACCCGCGGCCCCCAGCGCAACAACTCATTGCTAAGCCACTGCGCCACGGAGCCGTCAAATTAATTAGTCTGTCAAACTTTCTCATCATTTAGAGATGAAAATCTTACAGTCCACTTAATTTTGAACTACTTACTTAAGAAGTTGGTGAAATATAGCTATCCTGATGGACACTCAACATATTCAACTAAAGACATTATGTCTTAATGACAGTTTTGTGTACACAGTACTGTTAGTCGTTTTGCTAAAAGTGACAATAACGATAAATCATCCCATCAGATATGTTAAGTCTACAAATTTTGAATTCAATAGAATTCTCTTTAATTTCCATTTACTTTAAGAATTTAAAGCAGATGTGTTGTCAGCCCTGAGGACTAAGATGGAATGCCTCGTTTCCAGTAAAAAAGGTATCCAGTCTCTACATTTACCATATGAAACACAGCAGCATTAAGCTGCTATTTTACCCTGTAAAAGCATGGCCCTTCCCCGGTTGAGCCGATCCATTTAAACTACAACCATACCATAGCTGCAGCATGGCTCTACCATGCACATGAGTTTGCTGTTTCAGTTTTCCTCTGTCCGCTCTTACGGCACACAAGGGACGGTATGGGGTAGCGGATATTCTTACACCGCCACTACACAGTTTATACCTCTTATATATTAAATTTTTAATCATTTACTATTTATAAATTTACTGTTTCCTGAGATACAGGTGATAACCTAGTTCAGGAGACAGAGCTCCTTTGTATCTAGAAAAATTTGGTTGCTAATAAACGTTATTTTATTTTATTTATTTTATAAATACTAGATGGAGTTAGGATCGTTTTTTAGAGATTCTAACAGCAGTATTAAATTATGTACTAATTTACTCGTTTAGCATTATTATATTGATACGTGAATATCGTAACCATGCCATCTTGCTATTTTTGTTCCTTACTTTGAACTCAAATACAAATAATACTGTGTCAAAAAAATCCTGCATCTTATGCACTACGATCAGAAACTCGCGTGCTAAGCGTGGCTATTACCAACATCCAAATAAGGTGGTCCAAATAATCTAGTAGTTGGCTTCGAGAGATTATTACCAACCTCCAAATAAGGTATTGCTTAGATCTAGTAGTTGGCTTCGAGAGATTATTACCAACCTCCAAATAAGGTGTTGTTTAGATCTAGTAGTTGGCTTCGAGAGATTATTACCAACCTCCAAATAAGGTGTTGTTTAGATCTAGTAGTTGGCTTCGAGAGATTATTACCAACCTCCAAATACGGTGTTGCTTAGATCTAGTAGTTGGCTTCGAGAGATTATTACCAACCTCCAAATAAGGTGTTGCTTAGATCTAGTAGTGGGCTTCGAGAGATTGGCAGTAATGGTATTTTAATCATTAATAGACCAACATTTGATAAAGATTGAACCCGATGTTAAAAGATAAAGTTTATTTGGTAAATATGTTAGCCTATAAAATGCATATTTACTGTTACTTTGAAAACCTTACGATACGACTTCAAGAGAAGGGTCTACTCTTTTTTAAAAGGCCGGCAACGCATCTGCAATTCCCCTGGTTTCCCTGGTGTTACAGTTGTTCATGGGCGGCGGTAGTCACTTACCATCAGATGACCCGCATGCTCATTTGCCCCCTTTCCTGTCTGCATCTACGGTGTATGTTTGTATGTTAGTATATACATATACATGTTAGTTCGTTTGTGGCCAATACGCTTGACGGATTGTGAAGTGCGAGAAGTCGTTAGATTTATCTTCATCTCCGGAGTGTCACAGGCTATAAATTAAGGTATTGTCTTACCAGTACGACCCTCGTTAAAAGCAATATGTTGATTGATTGCAAGGAGTCCTGATTAATAAGGAATTTAATGATAGAATCGTTATTTTTTTAATCATCTTAATATTTTTAATTCACAATTTTTGCGGGGTAAGAGAATCACAACATTTCGTCTAGTAGGTGTCTTAAGAGATGACTAAGGGTATATATCCGTTCCCATCAAAACCTTTTAGTAGATATACACACCAGGCGTAAAATACGCAAACCAGCGACGGGAGGCAAGGTTAGTGGTGCGACGACTGGTATTCCAATTGTCAATCCTTCTGTCAAGGTAAATACGCAATATTTTTTTATAGATTAGGGGTGACAATCGAGCACGTAGTCGCACTTACATCTATCATCGATTGAGAATCAATATCTGATGCGTTGTCACCCCTGAGAACTAATATGGAATGCCTTCTAACCAGTAAGAAGGGTCTCCGGTTTTATACACTAACTATACAAAACACAGCGGCATTAAACTGCTATTTTACGAGGGTATTATGTGATAACGTGTTCCTACGCTGGTTGCGCCGTGTTTCGAGCTACAACCATAATACGGATCTGCCACGTATAATGCGTAATTATATCGATAAACATTTGTATTATTTAATTGATAGAACCAATAGTTAATCCCAAAGCACACTGGCCATATCCAGGTACATAGTATGCATCATTTTTGTAGCAGGTGGAAGGAAAAGGGGAGATCTCCCGCCGGGCACGGTGTTCTGCCCGGGGAGCGGCCAACGCTCCGATTGGTAGTTCGGAGCTATTCTATATATGCTGCCTTAATTTCGGAACTTTGATTTCGCGATTTAGGCTTCGATGTGTTTCGCTTGTGACGCGACGACAGCGCCGCCACATCACCCCCCTGCTCAGACCGGAGGTCGATAGTGCAGTCCGATTGCCGGTGCGTCCTTAATGCCGGTGGGGAATGCATGCTGTGTGCGTAAGGGCAAGTGACGCCGGTGCGAATGATATGCCGGTGTGTAATGCATGCCGTACTACGCACTTGCAAGTGATGCCGGTGAGAACGATGAGCCGGAGCAAGTGCCAGGGAATGCCTTGTAGTCTGCGGTGAGTCGAGAAGAAGGCAAGTAATCTGCGAGAGTGCCGTGAAGCAGAGGCGAGCAGTAAGGCTCAGAGCCGTGCCGAACACTGTAGCGCAGAGAGTAGCTTGAAGGAACAGGAAGCATTATTATTCCAGTGCTGCGATGAACCTTTTGTAAAGCTAGATGGCTTGCAGAATGTGAAGACTGCAGACAATGTCTGCTCGGGAGCGAATGAATGGGGTACTTGAGTAAGATGACGAAGTTTTTTGAAATTGTAGTTTCCGAAGATTGTTGGTTGCGTGTTCATATCACGTCGGTTGGTCACCAATGTAGCAGGTGGAAGGAAAAGGGGAGATCTCCCGCCGGGCAAGGTGTTTTGCCCGGGGAGCGGCCAACGCTCCGATTGGTAGTTCGGAGCTATTCTATATATGCTGCTTTAATTTCGGAACTTTGATAGCGCGATTTAGGCTTCGATGTGTTTCGCTTGTGGCGCAACGACAGCGCCGCCACATTTTGTTGTTACATTCTAGTAACAACAAAAGCTATATTATAGTTGTAGCATGAATGGGTTGGCTCGACGGGGGTGGGACCACGCTCTCACAGAATACAAGCGCAAAATAGCAGCTTAACGCTGCTGTGTTTCGTATGATGAATGTAGAGAACCGGAGACCCTTTTTACTGGAAACAAGGCACTCCATCTTAGACCTCGAGGGTAACAACGCATCTGCATTTTGATTCTTAGTCGAGGATAACAAGCATTAGGTGAGGCAGCAGCATCCACTTACCATCAGGTGGACTGTGTGCTCGTTTGTCACCCTTATTCTATAAAAAAAAACTATTTTGTGAGAGCGTGGTCCTGACCCGGTCGAGCCGACCCATTCGTACATACGTAGATAGCTGCAGCGTGGCTCTACCGCGTAAACAGATGAAGTAAAGGATATAACGTAAGAGGTCCATGTTCAGCAGTGTATTTATACGTGTTGATGAAAAAGAAGAATGATGTTGTTCTACACCGCAAGATCGCAAATAATTGTTTTCGTAACAACGTCTACGTTAGGCAAGTTAAATAAACTGGCAAAGTTGGTACGGTTGATATATAAGATACTCTACATATGGAAAAGTGCTACGAGTTTCTTGACATTTACGATCATGATCGATGGCAATAGTACTTTATCCACTTTACGTAAGTAACGTTTAAAGGAAAACTTATTTATTTCTGTAAGAATTACT